TAACAATACCTTTCGTGTCGGCACCTCGAGTATATTGAATTAAAATCGAGCGCCCGGAAACTGAGCTATCAGAGCCTTTATATTTTTTATCTTAAACAATGGAAAATATATTTATACGATGATTGAAAAATGATACACGATTTATGTATTATAATTCATAATTTTTATTTACGTAATAAAAATGCATTAACTATCCCAATTCGTAGTCTAACCACTAAACAACAAGTTAAGATAAGCAGTCTTATTACACGAAGCATAAATCTCTTAAACAATAAAGATTATTAATTAAACCTAGTTCACTAGTTCCATGACCCTCATACTTTCAAGGCACATCCTTTTTTTGCTCTCACTCTGTTGTTATCCGACTTTTCTTTGCTAGCAACTTTTCCAAACTAACATGATGACTAAGCAAAAACTGAAATAAAAACAGTGTCCAGGCTGAGTAGGATATTAAGAATAATTTCACGAACGACTTAGTAATGACAGCAAATAAATAACGATTTAACGATAAATTATTAGGTTATACATTTTATGAGAAGTATCACCAATGCAAAGTGATGGTATCATTATACATTTGCATAGAAATACTGTTCTTTTATAGGCAGAAAACTATAGTTAGGCTCAATGGAATTCTCCTATAACATGTCCAATTTATGACGGGTTATTTCACTGCAGTAAAGTAATTATTATACATATTAAGAAATAAATCACACATTTGTATCAAGTTATGTAAAGTAACATATAATTCTCAATGCTGAGCAAAGGCTTCCTCTATAAAGAGGGAATTAAGACTTCACTAGGTACCTACATTTAAATATTTCTTACTATTATTTCAAAAACATGTTGGTTTCCTCAAGATGGTAAGCAGCACTGAAAATAATGCATTCATTACAATTATCACTTAACAATTTTGATGAATGAAATAAATATTTAATTAGAGCCTGGAGTTTGAGCTTTCACGGCTACTTGACATTTTTAACATACTAAAAGAAATTAAATAATAAATATACATTTAACTATGAAGAGTGACCAAATGAAAAGTTCAGGAACAATTATAGTTATTTTATAAATACACAGAAATCATGATCATTAGACCATTCAACTTTCTCTTGTTTAACCAAAGAAATACATTTTTAATTAATGGAGCATAGAACTTTTACCAACAATTTTTTATTCAATGTGTAATGTGTAATTGCAAACTGCACTTATAAAAGGAGTTTTATTGACTAGATGAATATTTAAAAATAAGACTTTAATTTTACTACTATAAAGTAAAATATGAGTTGCTCTCAACTTATCGGTCCACATCATTTGCATTAATATTGTTAAAAATGAACCTCATAAATACCTCCTATTAGGGAATCACTTATTTTAATAAATTAACTGGCACATAAGGTCTAACAACATTCACACAATACTACTTTACTAGTCTTTATATTGTTGACTATAAAAACGATATATATATATATATATATTATAACAGAAATAACATTTTCTACTAACAGAAACATTAATATAAAAGTTATATTGAGTAATCCCTAATAATATGATATTTATATACCAGCCATGTATGTATTTTTGTATATTTGTGTTTCCATATCCATCTAGTTCTCTCATCCTCTAATTTTCAAGCATGCTTTAATCTTATAAATAGTTTTATAATTGTTAGTAAAAATGTAAATGTTTTGAGGTTTACTTTACAAGATATCTCTTATACTATTTCCACTCGCAGTCCTTTCCCAAATTTGGCCCGATTTGTACAGCCTATAAATTTTGTTGCTCATTAAACTCTGAGCAAACTGAGTAATTGCACCTTCAAGTTTATGCTGGAACACTTGCAATTGGGTTTCATTATAACCACTTGGACTGTATTTTTTAGAATCTCTACATTCTGTGTATTTGTGTACGCCAAGAATATCTAAAGATACTTCTTTCACACTGGATGACAAATTAAATATATCATCAAATGTTATCATTGTGTCTAAGTTCCTTAAGTTAATCAATGTTTTCTTCTCAGGTAAAATATAGTAGTGCCTTTTATTTAATATATTAGGGTACCCAATTTCTGCATTGTCATCATCTGGTTGATTCAGACAGAATAACAGTGGTTGAACAATCGCAGTTCTTATTGATCTTGTAGGGTCAAAATCACCTATCACACCTTTTATGTTTGTATGGTAACGTGGAACAAGTAACTCATCCCAAGATAGCACAACTACATGACTTGCTTTATCAGAATCTTCTTTATCATATTTAAAATGTCTGAAAAGGCAATCCATCTCCACTGCCTGCCTTACAATATCATATGACTTAGAAAATATAAATGGGTAGTTTAATGGGAAAAATTGTATATTCCATTGTGTAATATCAGCTGGCAATAAGTTCAATCTTCTTATAACATCTTCGGATATCATACTGTCGTATATGGTGAAATAATGGACACCCATCATATGGTGGAACACTAAAAACTCAATGAAAGCATCCCTTGACACAATTGGAACAGAATTTGGTATCACGCACACTGCTGGCACAATGTTGTTCACAAATTTAATATTGCTATTTTCTCTTGCTTTACGTTTTGTATTAACTTGAATAAGTCTATTAATAGGAGCATGTATTGGATTGATGTTATAATCATTAACATAAAAGCTTATACCCCTGGGTTTGCCAAAGTCCTTATTCATTGCACATTGGAAAACATACAACTTGAAGTTGTTCATAGGATTGGAGACAGTTTTGAATGAAAATCGCCCAGCTTTAGGCTTAGTATCATTTTCTAGCCAAATGTTACAACGAAATGATGGTTGTATGTTAGCTTTGCCAATAACAATAGAGTCAATGCTGTATGCATTTGAGGGAGTTAACTTTTCATATTTCTGATATGAACGCAAGAACGATGAGTAAGAGTAAAAATTTTCATCGATCTGCTGAAACAACGGTGGCGTTTCACGCACTTCCATTGACGAGTTACGTAGTATCTCCGACAGCATTGTAGCATTGAATCCCGGCCCGCAAAATTCTATTTCTGAGAGACCAGGTTTGCCAAAAAAGTTGAGCACTTCGAGCACATAACGTAATCGGTAATATTCGTGACGATATATAAGTAGAGTTACTATGCTAATAAAGCTTATTAAAATCAAAATTAGTTGGTAATATTTTCGCATGATGTTCGCTGATGGTTTTCGTTGAGTCTTCATTGAGTTGATCGATGACAAACATAAAATTTGCACCAAAAGGAATAGTTCTTAAGCGACACCATCTGTTATAAAGTAAGCAATTGCGATTTGTTAGACAGTTTACAAGTTCTCAATCACTTTAACTTTAAATACCTAAATATATATAGGTATCTCTTCGTTTCTGGGTTATCAACAATGACAGATGTGACAAAGAATGATAATTATTGACATGTGAAAAGACAACATTGACAAATCCAGATTATACTATTATCGTTTAACGTATTTTTCCGTACAGACAATACATGATATACGTGGTATAGCTAATACCGCCATTTTTCTTCTATTTATTCGGAGTTCGGAGAGATCCAAACAAACCTTGCTATCAGTTGTCACCTAAATTACTTTTTTTGTGGAGCATAGTATTTATGTTGTGAGCCCGGAGGCTTTGACAGCTTGGTCCTGTTGCTGTGTCGACAAAGGTCAATCAATAGTTGAATTTTTCTAGACGGTAGAGGAATTAATATGGTTAAAATTGCGATTTAATTTCGAAACATAACACTCGAGAAATAAAAAGTACCAATCACCATTAATGAGTGATCAGGTTGGCCGAAGCAAGGAAAATATGTTCAGGTGGGGACTCTCAGAAAACTCAGACCTGGACTGTATGTGTAGAGCAGTGCAGTCCATGGCCCATCTGATGTCTTGTCCTGCCTGCCCTTTCACCTGTTCGCAGCAGGATCTGATGGATGCCACAAATTGTGCTGTCGAAGTGGCTAAGTTCTGGGCTGGGAAGATATGATTTGTCATCGACACGTAAAGAAGAAGAAGTGACCGGGCAGAGGCAAATATCGTGTATAGGCTGTGTAACACGACTAGCATGGAGTAGAAGTTTATTTTGTGAGAAGGTTGCAAACGAAGCTGGTGGTTCACTTGATATTATGTGATATCCAACACCCATGGAAATTTGCACACCCATGGGATTGCAGATGCGTTGCCACCTTTTTATAAAGTGGGCACGGCTACCTCACTCGCCATACGAAACGCAGAAGTGTAACACTTCAACTTCACGCTGGCCCTACCGCAGTAGAAAAGTTATACGTCTGCATTTCATCCGATGAGTGAGGTAGCCGGGGCCCATTTTATTAAAAGGTGGCAACGCATTTGCAACTCTACAGATTTGGCAAATGTCTATGGGCAGCAGCTATCACTTGAGATCAGGGGAACCACCAGCCCGCTTGCCAACTTCCCACATAAAGAAAGCAGTGTAATATGCCTTGCTAAGCGTGGTGGCGCTGAAGCTGTCACTGACCTGTTCGGGCTGCTATTGCTGCATCCTTGCGGCGCGTTGCTTTGTCACCTTGTTAGGTAGCTTTTAATTTATAATTGTATCACACAGGGGAATGAGTTGGCTTACCATTTAAAATAGGAATATAATTTTTCGTCTCACTAGAATTCAAAGACATGAATTCTATTATTATTTATTATTGAAGTTATACTTCTATTGGCGCGTTTGACGAAAATGATGAGAGTGAGTTTTTACAATGCGCGACATCTAACAATTACACCAACTTCACGCTGGTACCATGGCAACCAAACTAATTGAAATATTTTACCCATTGAATTAAATTGCATTTTATCGGTAAAATAAAAGATTAATACTCTCACCTCTGTTTTAAAAACTTGTTTGTAAGTGTTGCACATCACTACTTTGGCTTGTCAAATGTGATAGGATAGGTACTCAATTTGCGGATGAAAACTTAAGCAAGTCATCAGATATTGTAGATTTTCAGAAGGTTTCTATTTAGAGTCTTTTAAATCCTAATAATGTCGGATAACAAAGATGAAACATTGCGGCAGTTTCGTGATGTTACAGGCGCTGACGAAGCGCGAAGTAGATTCTTTTTGGAGTCGGCTAATTGGCAACTAGAGGTAAATTTGCCAAACCTATTATTTTCTGTTTCTATATAATATATATGTTAAAAGATATTACTGTTTTACATATATTTTAAATCATAAACAATAATAATTAACGATTTATTCCAAAATATGTGCCTGCCTTTTTCTAGAACGCTGTATAAAAAAACAGCATGCTTTTATGGTGGTACAGTTATAAATCAATGTTTCTTTCAATGGTGTAGTGTAGTTTTTTGTTAATTCTTGTGTGATTGATTTTGGTAAAATTTTTTTTGCTTCCCATCAGGCCAATATTAACCATTAATAATAGTATTACTCTAAAATGCTTTTTTGGTTGGTTTACTTTTTTAGATTATTTATCAGTTGAGTCAACATGTTGATGTCAGGTTATTCAAATTATAGTTCTGTGCTGTTGTACACTTCTTAATAATCTTCGTAGCCATTTAATGCCAATAACAGGCTTACAGTTAAATATTAATATGTGTAATTTATTATAATTTTTTTCTAGGTGGCTCTATTTAGTTTCTATGAAAATGGTGGCAATAGCGATGATAACCCAGTAAATCCTACACCAGCGCTGGCAGCAGTGCCAACTTTGTCCGACAGTGATATGGAGTCACCTCCAGCTTCACCTGTGCGCCCGCAGAAAAAGGAAAAAAAGAAACAAGGAAGCTCTAAGTTTGCAACACTAGATTCATTGCAACAAGACAGTTCGAGTGAAGAAGACGAAGGCAGGTGTATTGTTTAAGCACACATTATTTTTTTCTCAGAATAAAAAAGTTAAACATAAAGGGACCTAAGATTTAATTGTATAGAAGTGTATGGCATAAAATCTTAGTTATTAGGATTGTAAGTATAAAATCTTTGGTTACAGGTCAAGCTTTTTATGCAGGCGGATCAGAGAGATCCGGTCAGCAGATCTTGGGCCCTGGTAAAGGGAGAAAGGACATTGTCACAGAGATGTTCAAAAGTGTCAGAGAGTGAGTTTAGTCATTTTAAATATTTAGTTAATTGCCCAGTGTCACTGCAGGTATCACAATTATGAGAATATTTTAACCTAAACCACTCTTAGGATTTGAACAACAATTTATGGAGATTGTGATCTACTTTTGTTCTATGGTGGTGTTTAAATACTTTAAGAAATAAATTATGGAAAGCATCCTGGTCTCAACCCATTGTAATTGTTCTCAACAGTTCTGTTTAACCTCAAAAACAAGGACCGTAACATATGATAAATAGAACAAGAATTAACTTAAGGACCTGTTTCTAGAAGTTGTTTTATTGTTGTGCGTATTTGTATATTGAATTCTAAACCACGAAATAATATTTTACCACTTTTTGGGGCATGGTACAGTTCATAGACGAAAATGAAACACCCCTATATATGCGATAATTTCTTCAATGCCCTTCAATCTAAAATGCAATCCTTTTTTTATTAGTATCCTAGTTTAATGTCAGATTTATCCATACAGACAATTCATTAATAGTTATACAGCAATTTTCCGGCCCTTTTTACAGTACTTTTAGATCCATGCCTGAGCCTGTCACATGGGTTTCACATTACCTGCACGGATGTTGCGATTTCTTCAGTGGTTACTTAACGAGCTGCTATCGAAATGATTTTTTTTGCGTGAATACAGTAGGGTGATAAGTTTTGGCATGGCATGGCACTCTACCAATTTACGATGTGCAAATTGTTGTTTAGATCCACACAGGGTACAACAATTCGTGTAGGTCGCAATTAGTTGTCCCACATCTGTGTAATGTACATACAGGGTATAAAGTAACAGCCTATGTATGTCCCACTGCTGGGCAAAGGCCTTGTACAGAGGGTAATAGGGAGTTCACCACCCGAACTGGCGGACTTCACGTATCTTCAGAATACTTTTGTTATCATTTCGAAAATATGCAGGTTTCCTCACGATGTTTACTTTCGCAGTTGAGCACGCAATAAGGCGGCACTTAAAATTAATTGATAACAGTTTTTATTGTTGTCAGAACTTTGGCTGCTCAAGTATATTATTTAATTTTAGGACATATTTTTACACAACATTCTCTAGTCCCAAACTAAGCAACGCTTGTACTATGGGTACTTTTCTTTAGTAAATAATTACATATTATTCATATATAAACACCCAGACACTAGAAAAACACTATGTTCATCACACAATACGTTTCCAGTAGTGGGGATCGAACCCACACCCTCTGGCGCAGGAGGCAGGTACACTACCCACTACGCCCCTCGGGTCGTTATTTAAATATTAATTTGCAATTGAAATAGAGGGTGTTACTTGCTAAAATCTTAAGTTCTCGTGTTTGAAGGCAAGGCGCTGTCGTATTCGACAACGAGCCATCGTCGACATCGAGTAGGGGATGTGGGGCGTTTAGCGGCGTTGGCTACAGGCTCGGTGAGTGGTCTATTTTGCGGTCATTTTGAATGTGAATTTTCATTTTTTGAAGTTATACTTCTTTTGGCGCGTTTGGGAAAAATTGTGAGAGGATCAACTAGAAATTCGTGCCTTTACGCGACACCGACTTCATGGTGTTACCATAACAAATTTGTTATATTTATGTACACACACCTAACTCTAACGATAATTGCCAATAATCACAAAAAAAATATAAACGTTAAAAAATCCTTAATTAAAAAAATCTTTTCAAATAAAGTAATTAAATAAAAGAGAAAAAAAATTGTAATAAGCTATACAACTGCAACTGATTGAATCATACATTCAGAGACTTTTTCATTCGTTGCTACAACGTCGCATTACAATTCTCTCCTAACAATATGTTTTATGTTTTTTAAATTCATTCAACCACTTCATATGCTTTTAAGATGAGTTTATTAACTTCTAAAAAAGTACCATTTCGGTAACATTTCGAATGAAGAGGTAGTGAGGTGAATTATTTTTTTGCCCGACAGGACAAACTGCTGACGACCATGAGCAAGTCGCGCCAGCCAACGCACAGCAACAGGTAAAAGAAAAAAATTACTTAATACATTTCATACAGTATGTATTTCATATAATACCTTATACATGTATAGCGTTTCCGATCTGAGTATTGATTTAATGCACGATCCATGTATTAATTTTATTTGTTGCACCTAAAAAACTAAAACAAAAGAATTCGAATATATGTGAAGTCCGCCAATCCGCAGTGGGGCCGCGTGGTGGAATATGTCTTGATAGCCTCTGTATAGAGGAGGCCTTTGCCCAGCAGTGGGACATGTATAGGCTGTTACTTTTATTGCACCTAACACGATATCCCCTCACGCCCCGGGTAGACTGGGAAAATGCCAGGCATTTAGCCCGTAGGCTACATAAAGTGATCATGGTGAGTAAAGTGAAGTCATTCGACTGTTGCAGGAACAGTCTCGCTTCGTGCGGCTGCGCTTGTACCGCGAGGGTTTCACCGTAGACTCGGGACCGATTCGCTCTTACGCCGACTCCGAGAACGTGGAGTTCCTCAACAGCATCCGGCGCGGGTGAGTTCGATTGTTCCGATGCGTTCTTTGGGAAATTTAATGCAGTGCATGAATGGAGATGTTTTGACTTTGACGTGTTTGAGTAGAGAAATGTTGACTTTGACGTGTTTGCATAGAGAAATGTTGGCGTTTGACGTGTTTGAATGGAGAAATGTTGGCTTTGACGTGTTTGAGTAGAGAAATGTTGACTTTGACGTGTTTGCATAGAGAAATGTTGGCGTTTGACGTGTTTGAATGGAGAAATGTTGGCTTTGACGTGTTTGAATACAGAAATGTTGACTTTGACGTGTTTGAGTTTGTTGTGAGAAATGTTGAGTCTGAAGGATGTTGAGTCTGAATAGAGAAAAGCTTTCTTTCTTCTTCTTTCTTCCTGATTACAATCTCCACTACTCGAAAAAAAATTATGTGTCGAAAACTGTGTTTTTTCTGGTAATAATTTTTAAGTACGTTTATCGGATACTTAGTACTCATAGTACAAGCAAAGCCCTAAGTGTGTCACAATCAGCCGTTCTTCTTAGTGGTTGCAAATCCGGAAGACGTGGGTTCGATTCCCGCACCGGCGAAGAACTTTTCGTTAAAAATTTTAACATTAAATTAATGTATTTAATGAAACTAGTTTACGGATTTTATCGCGTTTTTTTATTTTGTTTGGGAAACTCCCGACGTTTCGAACGTTTCTGCGTGGATCGGAATAACAATAAACAAAATAATCGACGGTGGCCGGTGTTGTTAACTACGACATCGAGACGTATAACAACTCAGTCTGTCCCGTGACCACGAACGCCGGCAAGGGTTCGAAACTTCGGGAATTCCAAAAACAAAATAAAAGAACGCGACAAAATCCGTGTAAACCGGTTTCATTTAACATGTATAATATTCGCGTAGGATCAAAAAGCCAATATTAAATTAACGGCCGCGCTCCAGGGAGATCCCGAACGAGCTGAAGCGCGGGGGCGGCGAGGTGCGCGTCAGCTTGGAAGACCGCAGGCTGGAGGAGTGCCCGCGCGGAACAACCTCCAAGCCGCAGGCGTTCTCCGGGAAGGGACACCTGCTAGGAAGGTGGGTTGTGCGTTCTCTTGCCTAATAGTTGTACCCGGCCACGCTTCGCTGTGGTTTTTTTTCTCGTTCACTCCGAACTTCGCAATAAGAAGTATATGCAACACTCTTCTGTTCAATAGCTAAGTGTGGACAAATATCGAGTCGATCCGTCGTTGGCTAGTTTTTCTTAAACGTTTCTTCTTCTTTCTTTCTTTCTTCTTATATAAATGTTCGTTAAGCTGAAGCCCAAAATCTTATAATTATATATAATATTATAAATACGAAAGTAACTCTGCCTGCCTATCTGTTTCGCTTTCAAACCAAAAATACTGAACGATTTTAAACGAAATTTGGTACACAGATACTCTAGAGCCTGAGAATAGACATAGGCTATTTTTTAACTGTAAAAAAGTGTTGTTAATGGTTGAAAGATAATTCTTCTTTAGCTTCATATTTATATTTAGCTTCAACGCGAGCGAAGCTCAAAATATATGAATGTTTTAAAATTTGCTTCAAATGCTAGAAAAATATGTGGCAATCAGCCGTTTAGCTCAGTGGCTAAAGCGTCAAGCCGCGAATGCCGAAGGCGTGGGTTCGATTCTCACAGCGGCGACAATCTTTTCGTACTTTTACAAATTTTAAAGTTTAATCTTGTGTTATTTAAATTTTCACATATGAACGTTAATCAACGTGCAGCCCCACGCCGGCGACGGTCGGCGCCACCGCGCCCGTGGCCGCGTCGCCCGCCGACCGCTCGGCCAATCAGCGCGCGGCCCAGGAGGCGGTCGGCCTCGACGAGAGCAGCCCCGTCACCACGCTGCAGGTGACGGCGCTGCAGCAACGGAGCGCGCAGTTGCGGAACGTGTTCCGCCTTCTCGGAACACGCGCCGCCACTTTGACGCGCGTGTTCCACATTCTCGGAACACGCACCGCAACTTTGACGCGCGTGTTCCGAATTCTTGGAACACGCACCGCAACTTTGACGCGCGTGTTCCGCGTTCTCGGAACACGCACCGCAACTTTGACGTGTGTTCCGTATTCTTGGGAAATAAACCGCCATTTAAAAGTACAGTTCTCATCGTCGGAGGAACACGCAATGCGTCATGACATTTGTCTCAGTTTTTGAGCACACAACAACAGCACAAACGCTCGTGTCTTTTCAAACGCGGTGGTTTGCCGAGTTTACTATCTCAATACAAACACATTGCATGGCAATGTTCACACAGAGCACAACTACTCAAGAGACTAAAAGCCGAAAGTTGGCAGTTCCGGCCCGCCTGATGATTGTATTGCCAACTACTCTAGACTTACACTTGGTGTGTTAAGACAACGCTGAAGCAAGAATGGGTAGGTCAGTCCGGGTAAGTACCACGAACTCACAAACGATCGGCGTGAAGTGCAAGTATTACACTTTTGCGTATTGCCTGGTGAATGAGACAAACGGTGGCCCACTTTATTAAAAGGTGGCAACACATCAGCAATCTGGTGTTGCGAATATCCATGGGCGGCGGTCATCACTAAGCATAAGGCGAACCGCCAGTTCGTTACCTGACTTACAAAAAAAAAAAAAACAAACACTGATGACTCCGTGGCGCACTTGCTAAGGCATCGACCTCGGGGGGGTCGTAGGTTTCATCCCCACACACACCCCCAACTATTTGTGCAACATATTTATAACGCCTGGGAAAGGTCACAAGATGCAATAGGTGTCTTTTGCGACCTTTCAAAGGCTTTCGACTGTGTAGACCACGAAACCCTCCTTCAAAAGTTAGATTATTATGGCATTCGTGACATCGCCCTCAATCTCATTGCCTCTTACCTTAATAATAGAATTCAAAAAGTATCTATAAATGATGTAAATTCCACAGGGTCCCCCATGAAAATGGGTGTCCCACAAGGATCAATCTTGGGTCCATTATTATTCTTAGTGTATATAAATGATCTCCCCTTTTATGCCAGTGAGTTATGTGATATTGTACTGTTTGCTGACGACACATCGCTCATTTTTAAGGTTGACCGAAACGTGTCGGATTATGACGACGTGAATAGTGCACTTTCGCGTATCCTCCACTGGTTTACCGTTAATAATATGGTGTTAAATGCTAAAAAAACTAAATGCCTTCTTTTTACCCTTCCCAGCGTAAGAAGGCGAAGTTTTAGCTTAACATTAAATAGCGTAACCCTTAATCCTGTTGAGTCCGCTGTATTCTTGGGAATTACAGTGGATTCAAAGCTCCAATGGAGTCCCCATCTATCATCTCTTGCGAACAGGTTAAGCTCCGCTGTTTTTGCAGTTAGGAAGGTTAGGCAGCTATCAGACATCGACACTGCCAGACTTGTTTATTTCAGTTATTTCCACAGCATCTTGTCTTACGGCATTTTGTTGTGGTGCGGAATACACTCAGAGACCTTTTTAAAGAGATTAATATACTCACTGTTGCGTCTCAATATATTTATTGTAATATTTTGTATGTTAAAAATAATATTAATAGTTATCTAAAGAATAGTGACAGACATAAACTAAATACTAGAAATAAGGACAAACTAACTACGCCATTGTTTCGTTTACAAAAAGTAAACAGGTCGTTCATGGGGCAAGGTGTGCGCATGTATAATAAAATCCCACAGTCGATATTAAGTCTGCCACTTGATGAATTTAAACGAAAAATTAAAAGTAAACTTATGGCTAAAGCCTATTATTCTATTGCTGAATATCTTGACGACGCCAATGTGTGGGGCTAATACTGTTGATACTCACGTAGGCTAAAACAAGACTATTGTACATGTACTATTATATTGTAAACTGATTTTTTTTTTTAAAAAAGAGCAACTGTTGAGTTTCTTGCCAGTTTCTTCTCAACAGAAACTGCTTTCCGAACCGGTGGTAACTTACGAACGTGTTCATTTCTTGTAAAATTTTGACGTTTCATAAGAACGCGCAAGCGTCTATGTGAATAAAGATATTTTATTATTTATTTATTATTATTATTGTGACCCACAGACAGTTGCTTCCCATCTGGGTGTCTTTCCACGTGTAATTTATGTTTGTAAAACGCCCTTGCAACGAGGGTAATGTTATCCCAAAGTAAGGGCGATGTTTTTCAATACAAAACACGAACCGCTCCAGTTCCGGCTGGCGGACGGCAGCCGGCTGACGGGCCGCTTCAACCACGGGCACACGGTGGCCGACCTGCAGCGGTACGTGGCGCGCGCTGAGCCCGCCTACCAGCTGCGGCCCTTCGCGCTGCTCACCACCTTCCCCAGCGCCGAGCTGGCCGACCCCGCGCTCACGCTGGCGCAGGCCAACCTGCTCAACACCACGCTCCTGCAGAGGCTCAAATAATACCGCCCCCACCGTCGTCCACGGCTCCGGGGTCAGCGACCGACGGTCGGCCGTGGGACCGGCTCTCGACTCCGCACATAATAATATGCCCCCTTCCCCTTCCTGCCCCTCTCCACCTGTCATCGTCCACGGCTTCGGGGTCAAAGACCGACGGACGGCCGTAGACCGGTTTTCGACTCTGCACCGTTTTCGTTCGAAGGCTCAAATTATTACCCCCCCCCCCCCATCCCCTTCACTACATCTGCAGTCATCTACGGATTCGAGCCGCGAGTCGTCGACCGACGGAACGCCATGCGACCGCTTTTCAACTCTGCACCTTGTTTCGAAGGATCAAATAATACTCTTCTCCATCCACCAGCGGCAATCTACGGATTCGAGCCGCGGGTAAATAAACGACGGATGGACGTGCGTCCGCCTTTGAACTCCGTAACGCGTTTTAAATAGTTTTCTAGCGCTGTTATGGTTGAAAATGGCGTGGGTTGGCGTTGTCGATCGTGTTTCGGATGAACCGTTTTAGACTACGCCATGGTTATAGAGCGGTCGAGCCGTTTCTGACCATTTTTAGGGTTGACAATGGCTTAAGGTTGTTTAGCGATCGGATGAACCGTTTTGAACTCTATGCCTCGGGCTGTGGGTTGAAAACCGCTCGGCGTGGATGTGAGTTTTGGTTTTGAGCTTTTTTCAACCCGGCCGCTCAGAGTTGAATGGTTGCATTTTGAACCTTCTCCGCCCCGCCTCGGAGTTAGGTTGAATATCGCTCGGCGAACACTAGTATTTAGTTTGCGTAGTCATAATTTTACGCCTTTTTCTATTCTATTCTTAACGATAGCTATATAATTAAAGCATCGGTCGCACGACCATCTTCATACACTACTCGGATTATGTCCGTTTGTCGAACACGTTTATATACAATCACTTGGTCACAATTTCCTTGCTCTTATAGATAATGCTTGTATTACACGTTTAGTTTGAAGCTAACTTTTGCTTCAACATTTTCCGTCAATAAAGTACCGAACATTCCAGCCAAGATAATGTAATATGCAGGTATGTTTAAAAACGATGTATCGATGATTAGTATTTCTTCGGCGTATAAGATTTTAAACCATTGTTTCACGACAAGTTTGTTCGTAGTATATAAACAAGATTTTGTAGAACTCTTGAAATTGATTTCTAGAATAATTCCCAAAAATACTATTGGAAAAACCATTCTTTCGACTCTTAGCGCGATCTGAAACTGTGACTAAAGCGACTGTGAATTAATTACACATTATTACTGTGAATTAATTACATGTGTTGGACGTTTCAATAATATTTGCTCGTAAAAATGGTTTTCGTATACAATATACCGTTTAGTATTTGGGGCTTTAATAAAAAAACAAATATCGTAGACCGTCTTTTTATTCAAACAACCACTCCTAAAAGACCATAACAATGTAAAAATAATTTATAAATTAATTAATATGAATAACATATTTAATAACATGACATTAAAACTGATTTCTGCATGAGCAATAAAACGCTCACTCAAACATGGATTGTGGCGACGCAGTTTCCCGCCATTTCACGCGGGCGCCATTTGCATTTGGAACGCGCTTCCAAAATGGCGTCCTCAGCTGCAACACGCCGCCCTTGGGAAATTGCACGCGCAGGGATCCGTCGTAATGCATTCCGCGGGACATTTGCATTCGCACGCTGCAAACAAATGCACAAACAATTTTTGAACAAAAGAACATTGAACCAGGTTTTTTTAAACTACACTACGATGCCTACGTGGTGCAGTTGCCAAGGTGTTGCCTTTGGTGCTGGGGGTCGTGGGTTCGATTTCAACAAGAGATAAGTGTTTGTGCTATATTATATGTTATAAAACAAAGAATAAAACAAAGTGTATTTTTCATATTTATTCGTAAATGATCGTAGTCGTTTTGGACGATACGATTGGCGTAGTGGATAGTGACCCTGTCACTTGCGCCAGAGGGTGTGGGTTCGATCCCCATACAAAATTGCCTATCGTCCTTCATAGCTGAAATAAGGTTGTCAGTGACCAGCAAGAATTTAACTACTGCACTACAACTGAATGAGATCTCACGTTTGCAGTCTCCATAAGCGCAAGGGTCCATATATTCGGAGCAATCTTCTCCAGGCGGCAGGAATGAAGAGCGATACACAGTGGTGCTTTCCAGCTGAAAGACGAAATTCAAGCCCTATAGTTCAAATTATGGACGCTTGTAGGGGCCTTAAAGTCGCTGGGGAGACTAAGGCATAGCTGGTTAAATGACATGAATGTTATTTAACCAGCTATGCCACGAAACACTTCTACCCTTATGAACTTCAGTTCATAAGGGTAGAAGTGTTTCGTCCTGTAGAAATTATAAACTTTCTTTTTTCGTTGTGTTTTGACTGTGGTACGGCCACGGGGCAGTTTTGACTGTTGCACGAATAGGCAGCAGGCTCGTGCGATGAAGTACCACAACCTCACAGAAGACCGGCGTGGTATGGAAGTGTTGTAATTCTGCGTTTCGTCTATTGAGTGAGGTAACTGAGGCCTACTTTGTGGTAACGCATCTCCAACCCTGCGGCTCTTGTCCATGAGTGGCGGTCATAGGCATGGTGGTTTATCGCAATGATTTCCCGTGACGCGACCTTTACTCTCCACACGTGCAATCAGGTTTTACTTGATAAAAATTAGAAAAACTCTACCGACCCTCTGGCACGGTTTCTGGTATTGGCCTTTGCAAGCCCAGGGAGGGCGCTGGGGTGCCGGCGCGCAGATCGGCTGGTACGACATCTTCTGCACCGTCGACGACTCCATTTTGGCTGAAAAATTACAAATAACTAAATTAACAAAGCCTCGAATGGAATGGTAATATAAATGTTCCTACTGAAAATGTTTATAATGTATTTCAATGGTGAAGTGTAGTGATGGCTGTTTTGCGGTGTCTTGCGTTCTTCAAGGTCTTGGCTTTTAATTCTCGTGTGCAGGAATTACCTTATCAGTTCGACCTACGGGTCGATAGTCAATGATACGATTAGTGGCGGATTTACTTTGCCGCTAATAGGCTGTTCTATTTTTGCCGCCCCTACTGACCTCTAAAATTCGATACCCCAGTTCGCAATCATATTAATACCATTTATACTGTCAATAAAACTGCAACTTAATGATTTATGCTCTATCGTCTTCATCACATCAGTTTTTTTCTTGTTATGAGCATGATTTTGAACTAGGGTTTCGTTGTGCCAGTTTCTAGATTATTTTTATAAACCACGATTTTATGAAGATTACACGAAAAATAGTTTTTGGGTGGGTCAGAAATATTTCTGTCCTAAAAAAAAGACAATCATGTTCCAATCTAAGACGGGGTAAGGATAAGGTATGCCTCAGAAATAGTGTTAAAATACTTAAAAATATTTCTGTTAACCAAAAATGGCCAAATTTGCCGCACCTAAAATCTGCTGCCGTAGGCTCTAGCCTACTTAGCCTGCTGGTAAATCAGCCACTGGATACGATCATACATACTAAAAATATATTTTTCAAAAAGGATAATTCTTTTAGCTCTAGTCTACACTCAAGATGAAAAGCGCACATTTTTTTTCGATGCTATTAAACTCGCGTTCAAATTTCTTCCGTGCAATAGTACCAAAATAAAAAAAAATATATATTTTTTTTGAATCCAAAAAGTTATTTCCACCCTTTAAGTCTTTTCTTTAAGTCGGTGATTTCTGTTATGTTTAAGTTTAAAAGTAGCAATTTCAAACCAGATGGTTTCTCGTAGCACTTTGCGGGCGCGTAGGACTGCGGCACTGGTGCGCGTCCAGGGTCCAAATACGACATGCGGTTTACGGTTCGATCTGCAAAGGATATATCACTGATCTCTAAATGGCCTCTTATCGAGAGTAGCTGGTGTACATTCTCGAAACTCATTTTCCTTAGCGAGCTGTAACACATTGCACACAGCTGTAATGCATAATACATTGCACCCGTGCGAAGTCGGGGCGGTTCGCTAGTTAATAATAAATTTTCCCACATGACTGGATAATTTAATGTCAGTAGTGATGTGCAACACTGACTCTCGAAAGGCTGCTCGACGCAGTGGAATCACGATACCTTATTTTTGAACAGATTGCGAACTTTCATAACATACCTTCGTGCGGAAATGGCACAGTCTAATAAATCGTCTGACATGACTAGATAATTTAATGTCATTAGTGATGTGCAACACTCACTCTCGAAAGGTTGCTCGACGCAGTGGAATTACAATACCTTATTTTTGAACAGATTGCGAACTTTCATAACATACCTTCGTACGGAAATGGCACAGTCTAATAAATTGTCTGACATGACTAGGTAATTTAATGTCATTAGTGATGTGCAACACTCACTCTCGAAAGGTTGCTCGACGCAGTGGAATTACAATACCTTATTTTTGAACAGATTGCGAACTTTCATAACATACCTTCGTGCGGAAATGGCAGTCTAATAAATCGTCTGACATGACTAGATAATTTAATGTCATTAGTGATGTGCAACACTCACTCTCGAAAGGTTGCTCGACGCAGTGGAATTACAATACCTTATTTTTGAACAGATTGCGAACTTTCATAACATACCTTCGTGCGGAAATGGCACAGTCTAATAAATCGTCTGACATGACTAGGTAATTTAATGTCATTAGTGATGTGCAACACTCACTCTCGAAAGGTTGCTCGACGCAGTGGAATTACAATACCTTATTTTTGAACAGATTGCGAACTTTCATAACATACCTTCGTGCGGAAATGGCACAGTCTAATAAATCGTCTGACATGACTAGATAATTTAATGTCATTAGTGATGTGCAACACTCACTCTCGAAAGGTTGCTCGACGCAGTGGAATTACAATACCTTATTTTTGAACAGATTGCGAACTTTCATAACATACCTTCGTGCGGAAATGGCACAGTCTAATAAATCGTCTGACATGACTAGATAATTTAATGTCATTAGTGATGTGCAACACTCACTCTCGAAAGGTTGCTCGACGCAGTGGAATTACGATACCTTTTTTTTGACAGATTGCGAACTTTCATAACATACCTTCGTGCGGAAATGGCACAGTCTAATAAATCGTCTGACATGACTAGATAATTTAATGTCATTAGTGATGTGCAACACTCACTCTCGAAAGGCTGCTCGACGCAGTGGAACTTCGCAGGTGGTTTGCACGACTCCCTGACGGCGCAAGGCTTCGGAACAAAGTCGTGCCGCTGTGTAGTGAGGTTCTGCATCGGGCCCTGGCCCCACATGTCGTGGTGGCACGGCCGGATGGGCTGCGTCACGCACACCGGGTTCGGGAGGAACGAGAGCTGAGTGATCGGGAAGGAAGGGGAATTAATTTGTGGCGCATTAC